AGAAAGGGTTTTGTTGAACAGAAAAAGAACCTTTGAGCGGCAAAATACCGTAACTTTTTTTTTTTTTTTTTTACTGATGAAAAAAATGAATAAAAAACTGAATATGGGGCGTGAACAGTAACTTTTTTTTTTTATTGATGAAAAAAATGAATCAACAATTGAATATTGGGCGTGAACGCCGAACAGTAACTCTTTTTTTTTTTTTTGATAACTAATATAAACTACTAACAAACAAAAAACTGCTGCTGCGTTGATACAATTTATTTTGTTGTCCCAAGGGTTGAAGGTTGTGTTTTGAAGGTGGTTGTAGAGCTTGAAGGTCGGTGGAGGGCGGTGTATATGGATTGGATGGAAACAGTTTGTGGAATTGAATTTGAGCTAGGCCAAAGGAAAATGAATTGCTCTAATACCAGATTGATGCAGAAGCATACAAATTGATAAGGAACAATAAGAAATAAGGGAGATCAAAGGGAAGAATTGAGGGCAAGAAATACTTTTTTCATATAATTCAGGTGTGTCCATAAACATTGCCCTAAACCCTTTTATATAGGAAGGAGTTTGAAATTAAATGAACTTCCTATCTAAACTTAAAAATAAAAGAGAACATTATCAAAATAAAACTACTAAATAAACTCGAATTCTACTAATTATTAGTCTTTCGCCTTGAATAGACTTTTAATTGTTTCCTTATTGCATCACCCGGCCTCTATGTCTAAACCGCTATATCATGCATATTGTCCATTTCGGATGAGCGTATGCCTGCTTACCCCCTCAAGGATTTCTATTGTGCCCCAAAGATTCGATCCATGACATTTCCCCAAAAAGAGAATTAAGTTGGATCCTAGTATCAATTAGATTCAACTTAAGTCTCTCTTAAGAAGGAGGTCATGGGTTTGAATCATGGAAACACAATAGAAATTAGTAAGGGGTAAGATGAGTTTAGACTCTCATACAGCGGATAGTACGTATGATAACGATTTGGGCACAGAGGTTGGGTCGCTACAATAAAAATCCTACATTTGAGAATGATGAAAAGAATATATACTCTACAAGAACTATACGAATCCCACATTGGAAAAAGATAAGCCCATAAACATAAAATAAAGGCTTGGATAAAATATAGTTTAAACTAATTATAGTAGTAAGTGTAGAATATGGCAAGGTACAATTAAGTGCGTTTGGCCTCTCATTAAGCGTGTGAGAGGTGAGCCGCTAGTGGTGTATTTTGCACTCCACAATAGTGCGAGGTGCACTTGACGTGATATTAAGTTTTTTCAGTCATTGATTTAAAGTGACCAAAATGTTAAATCCAAGGATCAAAGGATATGTGTGTTGGTTAGATGCAATCTCAACGGTTAGATTAAAACATTAGTTGATCATCAGCGATCAAGTGATTTAATCACCGTAACTATCAACGATCAACTATACAAACAGTCATACACATGGTTTATATTAAAATATATAATAAAGATAGTTAGGTGTACTCAAGGTTCTAGTAAATCTTTTCAATCGTTGATTTGAGGTGATCATAAAATGACGAAATCATGTGGTGGATCAGATCAAAGGATGTGTATTTTAGCCAAAACAAAATCTACATTAGATTAAAGTGTTAGTTGATCATCAACGATTAGCTTATTTAATCGTACAAAGAGAATGCACAATAAAAAGCGAGAAGTAAACATGTAGCAAAGGTGTGTTCACGTATAGAGAAAAGTTTTAAAAAGATAAAAACTAGAGTAAGGTATATGTGCGCATTATGCAGACTGGTAAGACTTAACATTTTAATCGGTACCCAACCTTCCAAATTGAAACCGAGAAATAATCGGGTCCCAAAAGGTTCTTAGTTCTTGAACTGGAATCGTGGGTATCCAACTTTGAAACTAAGTCATTTTTATAAGTTTTTTATTTTTTACAATTATTCACATTGACGAAATGACCCCGCTCAAGAAGTAGCAATAAGGTCCTAGTAGTAAGTACATATATCAACCAAATTCATTCATTTAAATGATTGAATATCACTCTCGTTTATAGTCACTCCTGATAACACTTACGTATTGCCTGTCCCACAAGCTTTTTTGAGGGAACACAACAAAGTCATAGTCAAAATTAAATACTTTATGCTAGATATTGGATGCTATTAGGTGGAATATTTGCATTAGATTAAGAAAGTGTTGAAATATATATTTGATGACATCTTATTTCTTTTGCTAGTTATTGTGAAGTTATTTTATATTGTCAGTTCTTGATTTTAAAAAAAATATCGATAGAACTAAACCCGAATCGGAATTGACGGTTCGGGTTAGTTCCAGTAACCATATGGACCAAATGATTTTAATTACGAAATACTCGAAGTGTAATGGATGTTCTGAGTATTGAAATACCGGACCGTACCACTCGATGCCTAAGCCTATCGATGGTTATTTTTTGGTCTTATTAAAGTTACATTAGTATTTTGTAATTGGAATTAGAAATCCATTGATTCGTGTAATTAGGGTTAATATTGCAAGGGTCATTTTGCAATAGGTCAAACCTTCCCACAATCTAACTCATTTTGAATTAACAATCAACCTTGTTGAACAGAAGTTTTGAACAAAACGAAAAGCCCAATATTGCTATAGCGCTAAAAGAAAAACATGTGATAAAATGAAACGATTTCTCTTCCCTTCCCCAATTTGCATTGAGGTTCATCTACGTCTAAAATTAATCTCACTGTCTCCCAACTTAACAAATCTACACAAATCTATCTCTTCCTCTCCCCTTTCTTGCTTTACCAAGTGTCGATTAGCATTTTGTTCATCGATCTATTGTTTTCTCTTATTTTCTTTGCAATTTCTCCTCTTTATTCATACAAAACGGGTAGGTTGTGTTGACGACTAGAGTGAATAAGAAAAAAGGGGACACGCCAAGTGGCAAATATGACACATCCAACCGTGCCCAACGTGTGTTGGTGTACGACACTCTGGCCTTTCCATGCATCAAATAACGTGGGTGATTCATAAATTTAGTATTTTAATTTTGTGTAGGGAGAGGTTGAGAGAGTAAGGAAGCTCTTGTATTATGATATTTATTTAGTTAATTGATTTCATTCTCTCAGTAGTTTGTCGAACAAACTTTAATTCATAATTCACTCCTCTTGCTCATTTTTCATTTTTATTTCCACTGCTTTCGTTGCTTGTTTGGGAGATTTTCCAAACAAGTAGAAGGTACTGAAGACTCCAATGACTACTATTATACATGCCATTTAGTTTGATAACCTAACATATGAAGATGTAAAAAGTTATGTTACCTTTTGGAAAGAGGTGATTAATGATAGAATGGATTCAATAATGAGTAATAATACATTGAAATCAATTAATCTTCTACCATGATCAAACCTATTGGTTGCAAATTGATCTTCAAAAAGAAGGTGAAATTTGATAACCTTTGAATGAGTTTAAAGCAAGACTAGTAGTTAGGTTTTATATGAAAAAAAAGGCCTAGCCCCTGGTGTACTAGTTACAGGAACTACTATAAGAATATTAATTTCTCTAGTATCAATATATAAATTTGAAATACATCAAATGGAAGTAATAGTGTTCCTAGATAGAGAGCTAGATGAAGAAATTTATATTGAACCAAAAGAGCTTGTTATAGTTGAAAAGAGCACAAAAGTGCAAATTTAACTCACAATATGGACTTAAATGGGCTCGAAAACAATAGCACGAGAAATTGATCAAGTATTATTAAAGTGATGCAGAATTGATTCATGTGCAAAAAGCGAATTTTGTGACAATAAAGGTGTTACATCTGTCGGCGGACGAAATCTAATATTTGGAACTGAATAAGAAAGCATTAAAGATATTAAGCCATTATCGTCATCTATTAGGTGTTTTAGATGTGATGTCAGATATTAAAATTTTTGGGGAACATAGTATCATGCTAACCTAATCTTACTGAGCCCTCATTTGGAGCAAAAAACAAAAAAAAACAAAATTTTGACCTTTTTGGGTTAGTTGGAACACCTATGAGAGTGTTGGTCAACAAAAACGCCTACAAATGGGTGGCCAACGGTCCAAAAATTGATTTTTTTGCCCTAAAAATTTCCTCCAAACAAGGGCTAAATTGAAAATCTAATGAGAAAATCATTTTCATTGCAAGACAATTACCACAACTTTTGATTCAAGTATTAGATTATATCCTAATACTGGCTTTGAGAAGTCTCTTAATTGGAATATGCTTGAGTTAATGGATGCTCTGTCATCAACTAGATCCTATAAAGCTTTTGGAGTCAAGGAAATTGAGCATGTTACTAGTAAGTTGCAATGGCAAGCCTTATATAGAATATTAAAACACTTAGAATGAGCAATTTTATTATATGGTCTTACAAGGTTTCATCCATGCTAGTTAAATTGGTCATAGAGATTATTGCTCGTTAACTAGTGGGTGAATATTCACATCTGGTGGAATAATATATTGGGCTCTAAGAAGAAAACGTAAATACACTATGAAAATTTTATTTGTAGAACTTTCTTTTTCCAATAAAGAAGCTCAATAGTTAAGAATTTATTAATAAAATTCTTATTTAGGCAAAGTTGATGCCACCTATGCCTTTACATAGGGATAGTGAAACAACATTGTCTATAGTAGAATATTGGATGAAGGCACAGTTCAGTATGACAATTGCTAGCTCATGGTGTAATAACCATGATCTTATTAAGTCTAGTCAAAACTTGACAGATTCATTGGTGAAAGGCCATGCAACACGTCTGGTTTGGAAACTTCAAACTAGATGGGACTAAAGCCAACAAATAATTACCAATGATGGAAACGCAACCCAACACTTGAAACATCAAGATCTCATGTCAATGAGTAATGTACATTGCAGTAATGGTAGCATGCACTATACATAAGTCCTTAAGAAAAAAGGCTTGAGGCATGTAACAAGTAAAAGGATAAACTTCTTTGGAGTATGCAATTAAATAAATATTCTTTATAATTCTTCCTACATGAGAGTCGGGGATGGCATTGTCTCCTATGTGGCTTGGCTAGTTACTTAAACCCATGGAAAAACCAGGACCTTAGACACATGGCTAATTCACATGTCAAACATGTGAACTTGCAAGAATTTGAAAAATCGTGCATGTAATTTTTTCAGTTAATTGTTAGAATTTTGTCTCCCTCTACCATGTATGATGATTAACCTTGAAAGTTTTCAAATGAGTGAAATTTCAAGTCCAAAAGACTATCTAAGCATAAGTCTTGAAGCTGAAAACATAGATATAAAAAAATTAGTTCATTTGGAAAAATGGTTGCCGGTCGTTAAATAATATTCTCCAAAAAGATTAATTTGTTCCCACATTGGAAAACCGTCAAATGGTTAGTTGGAAAAATTTAAAAGAATGCAAGGGGGTAAGAATCCCATATTGGAGAAAGATGAAAATAATAGAAAATTATAGAAGTATAACAGGACTCCAAGGGATGAGAATCCTCCATTGAGAAGAGATAAGCCCACAAATCCAAATTATAAGAGATTGGGCTTAAAATAGTTTAAAATATTAAAGTGGCAATTATGGCGATGGTAGTCGTGCACTCTGCATGATGCACAACGAATTGGTGAAAAGTGCACTTGGGATTCTATTAAATCTTACAATCGTTGATTCAAGGCGATCATAATATGATGAAATCAAGCAGGGTACCAGACCAAAGATGCGTCTATTGGCCAGATGCAATATCAATCGTTAGCAATAGGCAGCACTGTTACTCTTTGTTTCTTATAATAAATAACTACTGAAATAGCTTTCGCAGTTCTATTGCATACATATAAATAAATAAATAAAATTTCCAATTTTCATTCCTTTATGTTCTATTCCAAGTTTGATTTTTATTAAACAATTCACTAAGTGGGTATCAAACGTGCTGAGTAAAATGTAAAAACCGTAAGTATTTGTTGGATTAGAGAATCGTGGTATAAAATATAATTGACTAGCATAAGCATGACATCAGTAATTATGTTAAATTTCAGAGTTCTGCATGCAAATACCTTGAACAAGATGCATCCGTGCAATGAATGAGTCTACTCGTCCATGGAACACTTTCCTTTCCCCTTCCCACCTTTTTTCTCTGTCCTCATCCATCGTTTCTGTGCTTTCACTTCCTTCCTTCCCCATCAAAAGGTTCCATAATCTGTTAGTCTCAGGGTCAAGATCCACTTTTGGCCGTGGCTTGTGTTTCCTGAGTGGATTGAATTCCGCATATGGAACAATTACACTGTCTCTTTTGTATGGTATGAGTGCACTTTGCTCTTCCCCAACAATTTCCTTGCCATTATTAGCAATGTGTAGATCTTTAAAATGATCTATAATTTCATCAACTGAAGTTATATGTCTCAGTTCCTCTAGTGAGCCTGCACAAAAATAGAAAATCTGCTTTACTCTTTCAAATAATAAATTTGTGTAAGAGCCATTCAGGTTGATGCTAAATGTATAGCTTTTGCAACATATGGCTACCGGCAGGTTCTTTGTTGGGATATCCTCGTGCACTCCTGCCCTCTTGCTTAAACACTTGGTCCATACTGAATGCTTGGCTGGAGAATGCTGGTCCGGTGGTCTGTTTTTTCACTGACAAAGGAGAAGGAGAAGTTATACTTTGATTTCCTTGGGTTGACACAGGATCTCTCTGGGATGGATCATTCAGATTCCAATTAGAAACTGCAGTCTGGTTGTTGACACTTTTTGCTTCAGTGGTTTGATGGAATTTCTTCTGTTCAATTTGTTCTGTATAAAAATGCACTTGCGATAAAGTATGTTGCTGCCGAATCTCACTTGTGACCTTGCTGACTACATTGTTGGTGTTTTTTAGTTCAAGCTCAGGTTTTCGTAATCCATAATTCAGGTGTGATATGGAACTATTTTCATGGACACTGTCAATGCCTCTTCCTTCAACCTGCCTTGAGCAATCTTTAAGAGTTGTAATACAAGAGGGCAAGTAGGTTGAGGTTCCGTCAAATTTACCCTCGACCTTCTTTTTCTTACAAGTTCCTGAACTTAATTGCCATAATTTGCAGCTATCACTGCTATGCTGGCCCGTCTTAGAAACTCTATGGCACAATTGTTGAGAGCCTGTCTTGACAATTCCAGGATTTGTCAGCTGAGTGTTGGAATATTCTCTCTTTGATCCTCGTTCCTCAGTTATATCCACCAAATCTTCTAGAAGTCGAGACCTACTCAGCCGCATCAATTGCCTTTCTCTATCAAGCTTCGCTTTAGTGGCATTTGCTTGGATAACAAGCTGGGCTACTCCTCCACTGATGCATTGATTTACCTGGTTGTAACCATTCTGGCTGCCTCTCTGGTTTGTTTTGCCATTTCGCATATTCAAAATCCTTGCTATCACATTCAAAGTGCTGTCCTTTGCTGTAGTTGGTGGTACTACAGATGCAAGAGGTAATGACACTTGAGGCAGGATTTGATTAACAGAGCGGATGGAAGAATATAAATTCGCCGATTCAGGCTTCTCCAAGCTGTATTCTTTTCGATGCCCTTCCTTCACTTTAGATGTTTTAGATACCGCATCGAGTCCCAAGTACCATTCCGCATCCTGAGAATCTAAATTCAAATTGAAAGGCAACTTATTTTCATTATTGGTCTCTGCCTGCTTACCACATGTTCCTTCCTTGCTTTCCTTTTCAACTCCATTTTCCAATTCAAAATTTAATACTCTCCTACATGGTTTTGCTGCAGAGCTAAGATTAACAACTTTGACCTTATTTTTTGCATCAGTCAGTTGAGTAGATGTCTTGATGTCCTTTTTGGGTTTATATTTCCTTTTTCCTGGAGTATTTTCTTTGGGAGTATTATTGTTCGTAGAAGCAGGTTTTGGAGTCCTTTGGGGTTTCTGTTCGACAATTACCTTTGGCCGGTGTTTTCTTCTTTTGGGCGGTTTCTGCTGTGGTGTCTTGTTCAGATCAATTCCCCCATAATTTTTGTCCTCTGAAATGTACTTTTCCTGAAGTGATGTTGTAATGGCTGCAGATGATGAGTCTAGTCTGTTCAAATGTTCATCATGTTTTTCCTGAACATCTTCAGGTAGTTGAGATATTTGGACATTTTCCTGCTTATCTCTTTCCAGGCTTGAGATTTTGCCTATCAATGAATGTGGTACTGCTGCTACCTCAGGAAAAACACCTCTGGGTGGTTGAGATTTTTCAACATTCTCTTGCTCATCTTTTTCAGGGCTCAAGGTTTTGTCTAATAACAAATGTGGTACTCCAGCAATCTGTGAGCTCTTTGACTGCTTTTGCTTATCTGGTGTTACTGGCGCTGATTTGAAGGAGCTGGGTGCACTTGAGGATTCACCAGCTTCTGATCTTGGGGGTAAATTCAGGTTATAATTGGGCCAACAGGGGACTGCAAAAAAATCTGTTAACATACAGCATACAATATATCAATTTGTGATTAAATTCCAATTATATTCTATGCGAAAATTTGTTGATGTTCATATTTTCTGTGAATATTATAATTGGCAGTCACCAACTCAGAGGGAAGTTTCATGTTAGTCACCAAACTTTATTTTGTTCCAAAAGTGGTCACTGGAATTTTTATTTTTTATTTTTGTTCAGTTTGGTTTAGTTACTCAACTGAAATCTGTTTAGTTTTTTCTAACCGAATATCTGATGTGTAGACCTCCATGTTAATGCCACGTCAAAGTCTTCCTCATTGGACATTCCACTAAAAACACTTATCTTTCACCTATCATTATCTCAACCATGGAGGGTGTCGGGATGATAATCCTATACTCCATGAAGGATTATAACCAGTTTTCAGCAACTATCACTTATTCACCTTTGTCTAGGGCATGAAAAATAGATTTTAACTAAGTGACCAAAATGAACAAAAAAAAAAAAAAAAAACATTTTGGTAACCACTTTTAGTACAAAATAAAGTTTACTGACTAACATGAAGTTTCGCTATTAGTTGAGTGACTAACAATGTTTTTAGCCTGAAAGTATGACTAGTATGTAAGGAATATGATATACATCATGAGCACGCGGAAATGAATGTATTCTTTTCTTAATACTTATGAGAAGTTCAAATGAAATGTTTTGTTCCTTTATCTGGGGAATTGAAATTACTATACCTTTGTAAAAAATTTCTACTTTAAAATTGTTCAGTACCATCCAATTCATCTTACGAAACATGCCATAAATATATTATTCAAAAGTTGATTTGCTCACCATTTGGCAGATTTAGCCGGTTGTGATCACTGATATCTTGGTTTGAGTGCAAGACATGATTTTGCTGAAGTATCAAACCAGTGGTTTTGTGCCCTGTCCAGTTCCTTTCAACTCGAGAATCTGGATGGAGAACTGTAGGCTTATCCTTAACACGAGTTTTTTCCATTGGTGCATCATTGATGACTGGAGCATATATAGCATTCTTCATCCCAGGTAATTCTGTTAAAGGATTAACATTCCAAACAAGGCTATCATTGTGCAAATTCTGCATGCTGGGGCCAACATTTCCAGCACTATGATTAAAGCCAACGAACCTTTTAACTGCATCAACGTCTTGATGGTCATGCTCCTTGTTATTTAGATCCACGAATCGAATTGGACTGACATTCTGATGCCCATTACAGATCGTCTCATCTAGTAATATCCCAGAGTAAATTCCAAGTAATTCCTGCCAATTTGTGGTTTCCATCTGATTCCCTGACAATTCAGCTGGAGTGCCACTAGACCTCTGCAGAAGTGGCTTCTCCGGTATTCCAGGAATCCATTGATTCCTTTTCTGCATCACTCTCTCCCGAGGAATGAAAGTTGCATCCCAGGTATGTTCCGAATTCAAGTAACCTCACAAATATTCAAATTGTTATTTTGTATGCACTTTGGCAGTGTTCTTGTGCAACAAACTTCACTTATAAGTGTCAGTAAATAAACTTTTCTGTACCAAATTTCTTTTATATCAACTGATCATGTAAAACTCCCAAAAATAATTATCAATAAATTAACCTGCCTTATACTAAAATTGTCAAATACACGTGAAAAAAATGTATTTTCTGCTGTTTACATAATAGAACAACACCCATGCAATTAATTCCAATAAATCCAATTCCAAAAATTAATTACCAGTCTCTCTATGTATGTGTGTGTATATTAGCAAATGCGCATAAAAGAATACTAAAAGGATTGAAATTGAGGATTCAATTCCAAATTTGAACGTGTGACATTATTGTTAACAGAATGAACAAAACCCACCAAAAAAAAAAAAAAAGAACTGTACAGAGATTCTCTTATGCGATTCAAAATGAAAATGCGATCGCGTGCTTAATTGTGGTTTTTAGTCAAATTAAAAGCATGTTAATTGAGTTATAAATGCATAATTTAAAATATTGGAAAAGAATTTTACAGCTTCAAGGTCCCCGAGCACTCTACAAGGCACGACCGGGAGGAGTCTATACCGCTGAGCCAACTCAGCTTCGTTACAACCAGAGTGGGGGTAGGGTGAGGTGGGTGGGTGTGTAGGCAATAAAGCGCACACAGAAATCTGCATTGTTAGGTAAGTTTCAATGTTTTAGCAATAAGAATGCTGCAGAAGAAATCTTTCCTCAATGGCTCGATATTTATAAAAAAAAATTCAAAATTTTATTTACGGAATGGTAAAAAAAATTTCATTAAGCTTTTCGTGGCGACGGTAGCTAAGTAGTGTATCTATTTTGTGGTATTAACTATTAAGCCCCAATTTGAGCCCATTTCATTAATGGTTCCGTTTGTTTTTCATTTTTGTAAGAATAAAAATGAAAAATATAATCGTTATAGATTTTATATAAGAGATAGAAATTCAAATTTGATAGTTTGATGTGATATATAACGGTCATATTTTTAATTTTAATAGGGAAAGAATGAAAAATAAACATGGACAAACCTTTTCGTGGCGACAATAGTCATGTATCTATTTTGTGGTATTAACTATTAAGCCCCAATTTGAGCCCATTTTTTCAAATTTCATTTTCAATCGCACATTCTCCCATAAAATAATTATACACGTATTTCAAAAAAAAATTATTACTTAAATGGGAATCAAACAGGGGAATGATTTTCTTGACTTTCGTTTCGAATTTATTTATTTATTTATTTTCATTTGACAAGTTATGGATGGAAGAATATAATTATAATCAATGCATGTAAATTTTATTTCTTATGATACTTCAAATAAAAAATTATATTCTAAATGTGTTAATTGAAATTATTGGATCTTTCGAAGTATTACCAAAATTATGCTAGATTTTTCTGATTTTATCATTGAAGTTTTTGATATGGCAGGAGTGGAGAAAAAAATATAAAAATCCGAATAATAGTCACATGATTAAAATGAAAGAGTAACTCTATTTGTACATCATTGAATACAAATAAATGACTTGAAAGAGAGAGAAATCGAAAGAAAAGAAATTTAATTATTATAATCTTTTACTCTCTTTCATATCATCTATCTGTACATAATAATGTACAAATAACATTATTTAAAATAAAATTATGCATGACTTTGGGTAAAACTAGCTCTCTATCTACTAAAATTATAGATGTTTTCACTGTTTTGTGGTTACAGTTGAAAACAACGACTGAACAGAAGTCACACTGCTGAATAAAAATGAGAAAAACCATATTGTTAGTGGTGTTTGTGCTAGATAATATTGATTAATGACAAACAAAAAAGAAGCAGCAAAAAGAATTTAAATAATTATAGGAGTTCGTTTTAGGATGTATGGCGACCTTTTATTAACAATATTTCACTATCGAAAGTTGTGGTTTAAAAGTAGTAAAAGTTTGTTATCCATCATTTTCAATCTTTTGCTTACAAAAACGATATTTGACATATTTTTTTAGGGTGAAATGTGAAAAATGAATTTTCATATTGAGAAATGACATTAGTTATATAAAGATGCAACATTAATTGAAAAAATTGGTAGTTTTATGACACAACAATAGCCAAAAATAACTTATTATTTGAAGACGTAATGTAATGCTTGACGAACAACAATAACCAAAACGACAAAAGCTATTTAAAAATGCAAAGTAGTTGTGAAAAAATCAGTATTGCTTGTAGCCAAAATAACGTTAGCTATTTAAAAGCGCAACGTAATCGTAGAGAAATTAATAGTTGCTTGACGAACAACAATCGCCAAAAACAACATTAGATACTTAAAGACAAAACGTGACGCTAAAAAAATAAATAATTACTTGATGCATAATAATAATAATAATAGCAAAAATGACATCAGCAACATTAGTTAATAGATTTTGTATTTGATAATAATTTTAAATTCAAAAACCCGTTGAAAGGACGTAAAACAAGTACTATGTAGGGTGTAAACCCGAGCTCCCAACGCCCAAGAAATTTTGCAAAACACACACACATGACACACTCGTATCTGCTACCAAGGAGAAGAAAAAGAACAACCAAGCAAATCCCTGTAATTCTTGGAGGTGAATCAAAGTCCACATTTTCTTTTTCATCAATTCTCTCCTATGATATATGGGAATTTTCATTATTAATATGAGGTTCCCCTGTATATGACTCTACTTTCAAGAAAGGAATTATTTTTTCAAACACAACAAAAATTCATCTTCTGTTAGTTCTTATTCATCACAATTAGGTGTTGACACTACTGCATGCAGGTGCAATACCTAGACAAATAAATTCTTCTGAAAATCCTCTTGTCCATATATATTATTGAGCTTGATTATCTTGATTTATTATTTAGCATTCGAGTATTTATGATGCTGATTATCTCGATTTATTATTGAGCGCTCATGCATAAATAGAAGGCCGTGAGGGCCCACACATGTCCCATATAATATGCGCACTCCAGCATGGTGGATACAAGACATTTGGAGTTAGTATGTTCGATATCCCTACCGCAACTTGGACTCTTGCTATCATGTGAAATACTACACCGCCAACACTTCTAATTATGACTTATGCTACTCTGACAGGACCAGCCAACAGGGTTTAAAAACAAGTACTGTGTGTCAATATCTGTTTGATCGTTTTTTATTTTTTAAACTGTCCAACCAGTGCATGACACGTGTCTCCTAATTATTGACGAGTTTTTTGGACCGTAGCCAAATTTTATTAATAAAAGACTTATTTTTTAATTTCATTTTAAAGATTTAAGATAATACAATAAGAAGTTGAAGGGAACTTCTGTTTACTTGTAAATCTCGCACCTTCAAGTAGTTAAGTAATAGGTATGGTTTTATGCATATATGGTGTTCAGGAATGATCTAATAAGTACCCGTACTCATTTAATGTTGAATATCAATAACGTATCATATGAATTCATTAGTGATTTTTAAATTTAATTCAAATATTGAGATCCATCATAAGTTTATCCATCAATAGATTTATACTACACATCCCAAGTGTTTAACATAAGATGAGCATCGATGTTAGTAGATACGATGTTATACAAATTTTATGCTCAAAAGCTGCTTTTGCAAAATAATGTGGTTATTTTCCAACTTCCGGTGTCAATACTTGGAAGGCATGTGTGACAACCATGTCTCGAGTGTAGACACTCGGCCAACAAGTTTTGGTCATGATGGCTTTGGGAAGTTGGTGTCAGCACTAGGGATCCCAAGCGTCGACACACGTGACAGATTTTTATTGAATCCATTTTTAACAATTCTGTCAATTTTCTAATTGCCAGGTAAGATAATGATGTAGTAATTATGGTGAAAATTAAATCGTCATAATTTCAAATGTGCTCTATGAATGGATAAGCTCAGTGCATTAAGAAAGCTTGATTTGCTCATGGCTTATTGAAGGTAAGAAAATGAGTATAGCCCGGGAAAATTAGGTTATTGCTACTCAATCTTTAGTAAATCAAGTTTTGGTACCGATCATCTTTAAAACGTGTGTTGTACATAATAACTTAGCTTTTCTTTTGGGAAGAATGTATAAATGGCTTAATCTATAGATATACCAATGTGACGTGGATAAATGGATAAGAATTATTCCTTTTGGACAATGTCATGTCCAAACAGGGGACGATGTGGCGCCTCCTATTAGTTGGATGTCTGAGTTGATATTATTAATTTGTACATTGAAGTATATGCTTGAAAATGAACTTTGACCATTTATGAATGATTTACAATTGCCAAACATACTCTTAATAGAATTTATGCACAAATTCTTGAAGGGACGAGTGTTAAATAATAAAAAGTTGAGATAATGAGTAATGATATTCATTGTTAGAGATTATGCCACCAATTTAGCATTTGTTTGGGAGATATTTTTTCAAGTAAAAAATATTTTTTTTTTGAAAAATGTGTATTTAAAAAATTGGAAAAGTTACGAATCTCAAATAAAAAGTGGTTGCAAATAATTTTGGGAGAAAAATGATTTTAAAGAAATTCTCCCAAAAAACTCTTAAACGGTTGATAGCTTCATTGTCATCTGTCGAACAAGATGATCAAAAACAATGATGACAACATGATTCTATGATAATATTGTCAAAAAATATTAGAATAATGCTTTGCAGTATAACTGATGTTAATCATGTGGGTAATAATTTTTAATTTAGAAACATAGGTCCCATATAAATAGCATTATTAATTATTAGTACTTCATTGACACCTAAATTAGTGTTTAGCTCATATTAAGTTATATATTACCAAGAAGTCTGGCTCCCAAACTTTCTTATGGTGTGGTAATGGATTTTCAATCTTTAAAAATGAGGTATTGGTTCCTACCAATTTAAATATGTGAATTTTAGATCACCGTGTAACAAAAATTATAAATTTGGGCGTTAAGCAGTTTGACAATTTTGCTCTCTAATTTTGAGTAAAGTGAAAATCACATACGATTTTAAATCTATATTGTTGGTATCGATTTCATGCAGATTCAAATTTACAAATTTATAGGT